AAGCCCGTTTCCGTGACCTTGACGACCCACCATCTGCGCCCTGACCATGCTCCTCGTCGTCTCGTCCACTGCGTCGAGACGCCGCTCGCCGAGTGTCTCATCGTCTCGGTGCCCCTCCTGCTGTCATCCACAACGATACAACAATTTCCTGGGGCTCGGTCCCGGTGGCACGCCGCCTACCTTTCAGGGCTACGCCCGCATCGCCTGGCTCCGCCTCTGGGCCCTCCGCGATCCCTTCACCCCGCCCGACCCGGACCCCACACCGGGCCGCCTGCCGACCCGCGGCCGTCTCCTTGTCGGCACCAACTCCGCGCCAAGCAGGACCAGCAGCGTCCACGGCAGCAGCAGCAACAACACCAATGTGGACGCCCTCCCCTACCGCCCCGGCCCTCGCCCCGTCGTCGCTGGCATCGCCCCGCAGCGCCAGCTCGACCAGCACGGCGCCAAGCCGCAGTACCGCGCCCTGCGCCGCACCCTCGAGCATCTCGCCGCCCGCCGACCAGGCCGCTTCGGCACGGCCCACTTGTGCATCGAGAAAGCACGGTCTCGGCCTCTTTGCGCGCCACCCCGTCAACGTCACCTGCAACGGCGAAGGTATGCCACGTCCACGACTCGGACCACTCGCTGCACATGACGCTGCACCCGGACGACATTGCCGAGGTGCTGCGCAAGGGCTGGGGCCAGCGCCATCCGCTCGCACGCAAGGGCTGGTTCGGCGCCATGCCGGTGCCCGAGGAGTTTCTCATGGTGTACGCGCCGAGGGGTGAGTTGCTTTTCTGTCGTTCGCCATGTTGGAAAACAGGAATGAGAAGAAACAGTGAAAATCATCAAAAAGATGTCGAGAAAACAACATCTCGATTCGCATCGCACTTCTTCTCTCTTGTCGTTAGCTGCACCGAGACTCTTCACTGGCTCAAACATGACCATACCTCGCTCTAGACTGACTTTGCTGACCCGGCCCCAGACGACCAGGAGCTGCAGATCGTGTGCAGAATCATCGAGGCGGCCATATGGTACGTCACTGCCGAGAGTGAACAGATTGAGGTGCTCTACAGGTCGCGAACCCCCTCCATCGCCTCTTCCAAATGAGCCGCTCACCTCTTTTTCCTGGTGAGTTCTTACAAGTTCAACCCGAGAGCGCCTTCATGGCACCCACCAGCTCTTAGTACTACGCGGCATTGCTTGACATCTAGCGTAGGTATGTACCTACCTTAGGTATGTACCTACCTGTACTTGAGCAGTCCCCCCCTCCAGAATGCAAGGGAAAAAAGAAGGAGAGAAGGACATGAGGCCATAAATACAAAACACAATTCATACATGCTTTTGTGCGTGCGCCGTGACTGAAAGGCTTTGCCCCCCCTCACCCCAAAAGTCCCAACGCTACTCGTCCTCCTCGTCGGCCTGTCCGCCCTTGGATCGCCGAAACTTCTCCCGCCCCGTCGCCAGCGACGCCTCGACGACGCGGCCGTCAAAGCTCCGGCCGTGCATCATGGCAATGCAAGCCTGGGCCGCCTGCGGGTCGCGAAACTTGACCGAGACGACGCCGTCGGGCTCCTCGTCAAAGAGGACAACGTTGGTGACGGCGCCGAGCTTGGCACACTCCTCGCGCACGTCCTCCTTGATCTCCAGCAGCGCCGCCGGGTCCTCCTCGAGCTCCGCCAGCGTGAACATGTGCCGCAGCACCACGAGCCGGTCCCACTTGGACGCCGCGGCCGTCGGCAGCGCCGCCGTGTCGTCGTCGCTCCAGTCGGCGAGCTTGGCGTCCAGCTTCTGCGTCTTCTTGATGATCTTCTGCCTGTCCCTGTCGCGGTCCGCGCGGCTCTGCTGCTGGTGCTTCGGGGGCAAGGGCGCCGCGCCCTCGGGCGCCTTGCCCTTGGCGTCGGCGGCGGCGGCGGCAGCGGGAACGTTGTCCGCTTACACCACCCTGAAGAATCCGCCTGCTGAGAATACGCGATCAAAATCGTGAAACTCGCGCTTCAGCTTGCGATGCACCTTCGCCCGCCCTCCTCCCCAGATTAAGGGGACGACGCCTAGGAAAGCTCTCCGGGAAGCG